GAGAGAGAGAGAGCAAAATGACTTAGTTATTGTTGCTTTGGGAATTGCTCGTAGGAGTGTGGTTTAGTTTAGTCAGTGGATTCCCAAAACGAATGTTCTTCAGATGTCGTGGGGGTGGGTGTTTGAGGGGCTGTGTGGAAGTGCTGGTAGTGAATAACCTTTGAAAGAGCACGGGTTCTCTGGCTCCACGTCACTTTGCCTGAATCAAAATTTTCTGAGACGACGGATCAGGAATCTGTGATTTAAGAAGCCTCTTAAAAAATAATAAATAATAAATAATAAATAAATAAATAAATAAGAAGCCTCTTAGGCACTCTCGTCCCTGTGCGTGGAGTATGGTCCCTCCCATAGATAGAGCTCCGGAAGTTCTGTAGGTCTCTTCTGCCATGACCATGGGTTTCTGGTTTGTCTACGCTGACAAAATAAAAAAGGGCCTGATTCAAGTGACATCAAGTGCAATTTAGGAGACAACCGAGCATGGCCAGGCGACGAATGGGTACAACACGCCCAGGTCCCCAGGGATACGTCTGTGGTACCGACAAGGCTGCCGTTTGCCTGACTGTATGTGCCTCCGTTGGAAGGGATCGCGTTCTTTGTGCAGCTTATGCTCACCAACTCCCAAAGCATGAGGTGAGGGTTGGCCTTACAGTCCACGCTAGAGTGTAAAGTACCTGCGGCCTGCTGCAGTCACTGCCCTCTCCTTAGACTTGGCACCGTGAGATCTACTTCCCAGTGGAGGTAACCGGAGGACTGTGGAGTATGGAAAGGCCCGATGATGGGCCTGTTGCCCTCACATGTGGTTTGGATGTGAGCCTTGCCTGAACTACTGCAGATTGGGGAGGCCTAGGAGTGGAGTAGACCGTGTCTGAGGGTAGCTGTGCATTAAGGAAGCGGTGATTCGGTGCAGGCACATCCCTTTCCTAAGTCATGGGTCAGAATGGTGGACATTATACGCATCCCTTAACGAAAGATGATGCTTCTAAGATGCAAGTCTCTCAGTAGCGGAAGAACCTTGTAACTCTAGACATGGTGGGGAGCACAGAACTCACGTTCCCAAGTGAGAGCGTGTAGTCTACGACAAATACTGCAGAGTGTCACCAGGGGAGGTGGAGCCATTCCGAAGTACCTCTCACCCACAAGGAAAGTTGTGTCCTTCAAGTGTAGGGTGTAGGGGGTCCTCAGAGCCCAGGAGTAGGCTGCTGACGGCTCAACACTGAACAACCCCTGGCTGTCCTCAGCTCCAAAGAGTTTTCAGATTGAGGCCTAGGAGTTAACCAAGCAAGAGGAAATTGCCTATAATGGGTGGAGCCACAGACAGGACAATAACTCAGAGCAAGGGGGTAGGTAGGGACTAAAAAAAAAAAAAATACTTAGAAACAGAAGGTCATGGTTTACCCACTTGCTTGATTTCATTCATTACTCAGTAACGGTGTTCCGAGCATCTTTCCTGTGTCGGGCACTAGCGCAGGTACTAGGCTACAGGAGTGAGAAGACAGAGTAATTCCTGAGGTCAGGACCCTGACTTTTGAGGGGAAAGAGACCCAATAAGTAAGCACATCCGAGTTATGAGTGCCGTGAAGAGGATGCAATGAGTATTTTGTGAAAGATCCTAGAGCTTGCAGTGGGAGGTCAGGGATGCGGGGAGTCCTCCTCTTCTTCCTTCTACACCAGATATAATTATTATATCATGTTAACTTGTTGTAGGTGCAGGTCCCTTATCTTACCAGCTCTACCAATTTCACACGCTTGGCCCAGCCATTGAGCAGGCTCAGCTCTATAGGATGATTTATGGGGCCTTGGACTGGGTTTAGTGCTACTACGTCAGCACTATAATAGCAGGTAGGCCCTTTCCAATTATTTGATATGTATTAATTGAGTGTTAAAGAATACAAGACTTTGGGGCATTTGGCTGGCTCAGTAGGTAAAGCATGTGAGTCTTTTTTTTTTTTTTTTTTTTAGATTTTATTTATTTATTCATGAGAGACACAGAGAGGGAGGCAGAGCACAGGCAGAGGGAGAAGCAGGTTCCCTGCAGGGAGCCCGATGCGGGTAGGACTCGATCCCACGACCCCAGGACCACAACCTGAGCCAAAGGCGAATGCTCAACCACTGAGCCACCCAGGCACCCCAGCATGTGACTCTTGATCTCGGGGTCATGAGGTAAAGCTTCACATTGGGCATGGAGCTTACTTAAATTTTAAAAAATAGGGCAGCCCGGGTGGCTCAGTGATTTAGCGCCGCCTGCAGCCCAGGGAGTGATCCTGGAGACCCAGGATCGAGTCCCACTGTTGGGTTCCCTGCAGGGAGCCTGCTTCTCTCTCTGCCCCCCTCTCTCTCTGGGTCTCTCATGAATGGATGAATGAAATGTTTAAACAAAAAGAAAGAAAGAAAGAAAGAAAGAAAGAAAGAAAGAAAGAAAGAAAGAAAGAAAGAAAGAAACATAGAAATTGAGAAAAAAAACACTAGGAGAAAATGTTAAAAAAATAATTAAAATAAATAAAAAATAAATGAAAAAAATGTAAAGTTTCACTAACATTTTTTGTTGTTTCTATTATAAATGTTTGGCTGACTTGACAATAAAAACAAAATTCCAACAGGTAATGTTTTCTTTTGCTAATATTCAGGTTGATTTGTGCAGATTTCCCTATTGTTTTGTGTCTACCAAAATAAAGAAATGGAGACTGGCTGATGATTGATTAAACAACCTAAGAGGTGACATTTTTGCCATTAAATAAAGTGAGTGAATATGTGGAATAAATCAATAAGTGAGTTTTATCATATAGATTTTTCTTAAACATTTAATACATTGTAGATTTTAACAAGTTAGACCATGTGGATATTGGTGTTTTAAATATCTAGGCTTATAGAAAACTCGGGCATTATTAAAATGACCAAATACAGAGTTAATATGCTATCTGCACAAGGACAGATATTCTCATACTTTTTGAATTCTGAGTTAGATAATATCAAATTTCAATTTTTGTTGGACCAATATTTGTAACTGATAACTTTTAGAACACCTATTAATTAGAGAATGCAATAGAGAAATCACGGGCAAAAAAAAAAAATCACGAGCAGGTGTATTTTTAAATATCAAGTAAATACATTTCTAGATTCACCAGCCAGGTTTATAAAGTGAAACACCAGAATTTAAAGCATGTATTTTTCAGCATTCTGGATTGCCTGACCCCATCACTGTCATCATCTATGTGAGGAAAATGGAGACTTAGAGAAGGGAAGCAATTTGCTTTAGGATCCGGGATTTTCACTTTGAAGTATCTAGAGAAACTGGCTTCAACCATTTATCGGCAGGAAGGCCGCATTGCACAGTGGTTATACACGGGGTTGGACGGCAATTCGGGTTGGGTCTCTTTGCTTGTTTTGTTTTGTTGGTTTTCCATACACACCAGCTCTGTCCACTTGGGTAAGCCACTACATTTCTCTAAAGGATTTAGTTCTTCAATCCAGTCTGGAGAACAGTCCCGCCCTTCCCCCTGAAAGCACTGTCCCGGGGAATGAGCCACCCCATAACCACAGGCATTTAGTAGAACACACACATACAGAAAGAAATCAGGGGAAATCATTACTATTTAAAACAGAAATCCTTCAAAACAACCAAAAAAAAAAAAAAAACTCACCCGAAAACCCCAGAAATCCTTCTATCAAACAGATCTTTCAAGAAGATGACATTTTTTAAACAATATAAAATGTAGTAGTTCCTAGTTATTTCAGATGAAGGAAATCAACCCCTTTGTTAATTTTTTTCTTGAAAGTTGAGGTTTAAATATCAGTTTTACGACAGCGTTGTTAGCACTTGTACCAAGGTAAGTGTCTGGTTTTGTGTCCATATAGGAACACGGTCCTCACCCCGAAAATTGGATAGTGGTTACCCTCCCCAGGTGACAGGTGCTGAAGCTTCAGCACAGAGAGGTCAGATGCAAGATTCCAGGTCCCTCGGTGGGTAGGGGAGGGAGGGTGGGGGTGGGTGAGGGTGGGGGAGTGAAGGTGGGGGAGGGAGGGTGGGGGTGGGTGAGGGTGAGTGGGTGAGGGTGGAGGAGGGAGGGTGGGTGAGTGAGGGTGGGTGGCGGTGGGTTTGGAACTACCGAACACCCACGGGAGGAGGGGTGCTGGTGAAGAGCGGATCCCCGGTTGTCGTACAGGCCCGGGATTTGCCTTGCTGGCCTGGGTGCGAGACACCCCACGCGGCTGCCGAGGCCCAGGTTATATGGGGCACTCACACCCCTGAGGACAGCTGCCCCGGGGCGCGGGGGGGTGCTCAGCGGGTCCCCGGGGGACTCGGGGTCTGGGCTCAGCTTATGAGGTCAGGGCTGTGGGATCGAGGCCCCCCCCCCCCCCCCCCCCCCCCCCCGGGCTCTGAGGGCAGCACAGGGGCAGCTTGACCTCCTCCCCCTCCTCCCCCTCCTCCTTCCCCTCCTCCTCAAGCTCCATCTCCTCCCCTCCTGCTCCCCCTCCTCCTCCCCCCTCCTCCCCTCTCCTCCTCCCCCTCCTCCTTCCCCCTCCTCCTCCTGTCTCCTCTTCCCTTCACCTCCCCCTCCTCCCACTCCTCCTCCTCCCCCCTCCTCCTCCTCTCTCTCTCTCTAATAAATACGTCTAAATAATAATAATTAAAAAAAAAAGGCGGCCACGATTCGAGTGCTCCGGAGAATCAAAGTGTCCTAGGATCTCAGCGCACTCCTTCCTCCGCAGCAGCCCCCGCTCTGGGACCGGCGGCAGGACGGGGTGGGGGGCCGGGGCGGGGGCCTGGGGCGGGGCGGGGGGCGCCGCGGTCCCCTCCCCCCCGCCCCCCGCCGCCGTGGCATCCGGCGTGTGCGCGGCGCCCACGGACGGGACCAGGAGGCGGGACGCGGGCCCGCGGGTGCGGCGGCAGGTGCCGGAAGGGGGGGCGACCCCGGGCACAGGCGTCCCCGCCCCCCGCGCCCCGCGCCCCCCGAAGCCGCGTCTCCGCGCCGCCGGCCTGGGCGCAGGTGCCCCCCGGGACGCTAGGTGGCGCCCGAGAGCCGGGCGGCCTCGGGGTGGGGGGGCGGTCCCGAGGCTTCAGGTCCCCGAGCCGCGGCGGCGAGGACCTCGCGGCCCCACGTCCCGGGGGGCGGGGGGGGTGCAGGGGCTTCTCCTCCTCTTAGTCCTGTCTCGGGGCAGCAGGACGCGCGTGTGCAGCTGTGAGCCGCCTGCTCCCGGGACCCAGGGCCGAAGGGGACGCGCCCCGGGACCCGCCCTCGGGTGGGAAAGTGCTCAGGGGCGGCGGGGGGGGGGGGCGAGCGCTCCGAGGAGCCCCCCCCGCCCCCCGCCCCGGGGCCGCCCGCCGAGGCCCGGCTCTGCTGCAGGATCCTGGTCCCGTCCTGCCCCGACGCGCTCCGCACCCGCATCTCCGGCGCCTCCGCGTCGTGGTCCGTGTGGCCGCGGGTCTGCGGGATCCGGGGGGGGGGGGGGACCCCAGGCCGAGGACGCGGGGGGAGGGGGGGCGAGCCCGAGCCTGGCACCTGCGGACGGACGGCGGGACGGGCCACGCTGGCCTGGGGTGCGGGGCGGGCGCCGTCCTGGGGGCCGAGGGGGCTGGTTCACCGGCTGACTGGGGGGCTCAGAGCCTCCCCCGGAGGTGGGGGTGGGGGGGCTGGTTCACAGACTGACTCTGGGGGGGCTCAGAGCCTCCCCCGGGGGTGGGGGTGGGGGTGGGGGGACTGGTTCACAGACTGACTCTGGGGGGGCTCAGAGCCTCCCCGGGGGTGGGGGTGGGGGCTCCCCTCGAGCCCCAGGCAGCTCCGCGCAGCACCAAGTCTGCGGGGGCTCCTCTCCCTCACCCTCTCCCTCGCCCCCGCCCCCCTCGCCCCACTCTGTCTTCTTATCTTTCTCGTATAAATAAACAGAATCTTTAAAAAGAGAAGATAAGGAGTAGCCCTGGGGGGGCTGTGCCCCGAGCCCAGGACGCAGGAGCAGGAGCCGAGGCCGGCGCTGCGGGGGGCCCAGGTGCTCCGCAGCAGGTGTACAGGTGTCGCGCGCCCGAGGACTTCCTGCCGCTCGCCTGCCTCCGGGCCCTTCTCTCGCCTTCTCTCCCCTCGCTCTCCTCTCCGGTAGTTCTGTGGGATGTCCAGCCATCATCCCGCCCCGCAGGTGACAAGGCGGAGGCTCGCTGAGGCCGAGTGTCCCCGGCCTGCCGGCCCAGCTGGAGGAAGCGGCTCTCCGACCTAGTGTCCAGCTTGGAAGGCCTGTAGGGTGGCCGCGGAGATGAGTGTGCCACTTGAGCCTCAGACGTCATGGCACCTGGTGGATGGATGGGGACACACGTGGATGTTGTAGAGTTGACCTCTTGGAGAGGGAGTGAGCGAGCGTGGCCGTGAGGGGAGCAGGAAGGACAAGCCACCTCTGCTCTGGCCGCCGAGCTCAGTTTGGGGCGAGATCCCATCACCCTGAGATCATGAGCTGAGGCAAAATCCAGAGTTGGACGCTTCACCGACGGAGCCCCCCAGGCGCCCCGGTAACTGGAACACTTCTTGGGTGACTCTTTCAGGGTTGCCCTTGGTCTTTCTCAGTTATACTCCAGCGTCCTCACGTCCACCCGGGAGGCCCCCTCTCTCCCAGAGGCACCATAGATCGCTTTAGATAAAACCAAAACTGCGTCCCCAGTTATTGTGACCCCAACAGGTAACCTGATGCTCGAACCAGGTTCCAACGTTGCTAGCCAAAGTAGACCTTCTGGCGTATGGAGGCCGCTGTCTTGGGCGTAAGCGCAGTCTGGCTCCTCTGACTCCCCAGGTGTGTGCCACTCATCACATGGAGACGACTCACCTGATGTTCACTGCCCTCGTCTTGAGAGGATAAGACAGATACCAAACCTCTCGGGAAGGAAAATCTGTCTCGTTGGGGCTCCCAGACCGTTGTCACCTGCCTGCCGGCCTGGGCCCTGAGAGTCCTCTATCAGTTCATCTCTTCCGTACCTTGGGTGAATAGGTAAAAGATTATTATGAAATATATTATTTTGGCACAAGCTTAAGTGAGGCCTTGGAGAACAGGATGTGGTCTACCGTGTGCGAAGCCGGCTTCGAGGCTAACTCGGGGAAACATGGCACGTCCCTTCACTTGGGGCTTGATGGGTGTTAACATGTGTCCAAGCTCTCACCTTCTTCTAACGATTCTTTTTTTTTTTTTTTTGTAAGCTTCCCACCTGAAGAAAGCCACCAAATGTAGGGCATGTGATTTTAATCACAGCCCCAAATTATTTTAGGACAATGTTGTTATAATTAAAATTCAAAAGTTCTTAGAGATATTTAGATGAAAACTCAAAAGGAAAAATGATCATGGCTTAGAAAATTCAATGAGTAATTAATTACAGACGACTGAGGCTCTTCCTCCTGCTTCAGGAATAGGACAAGCCATAAAAGCGCCTCACGCAGTCTTCCTGGCAGGCCTGAAAGAGCCGAAGGAAATTTCTGATGTGATTTCGCACGCTTAGTTTTCTACCCTTGTTAATTATTGTGAAACGGAATCTGTTTAATATCAAACAGTACTTCTAACCTCATTTGTAATTCTAAATAGTCTAATAACATCCTTTGTCAACAGTATCAACTCACCACAAATTTCATTTCACGCAGAAGTCGGTCCTGCTCCATCGTTCCTCTCTCCTCGGTTCTGTGTTTCTTTATTGCACCTGTATGATTTCTCTTACACAAGAATCCTTTAAAAATAAATAAATAAAAATAAAAGGAATTCATAGAAACAGAACAGGTGGTTTCTGGGGGTGGGGGACATGGGTGGAGGTAGTCAGAAGGTACAGACGTCCAGGTATAAGGTAGACTGGACTTGGAATTGAAGGTAGAGCATGGCGACCATCGTTGACAACACTGTACGGTCCATTGGGAAGTTGCTAAGAGAGTAAATCTTGTTAAGTTCCCATCACCTGAAAAAATAATCGTAACTGTGAGGTGATGCATGTTAACTAAATCTGTGGTAATGACCTCACAATACATGCATCTATCAAATCATTATATTGTGTGCCCTAAACTCCTATAATATTGCGTATTGATTACATCAGTAAAACAGGGAAAAACTAGAGCAGATGTTTGATCAGTCTTGTAACAGAGTGGGTCTTTCTTTTCTTTTTTTTTTTTTTTTCCTAATCATGCTAGGCAGCGATAACAAAAATTCATACTTAGCCCAACTAAAGGGGTAAAGTAGGAAAAAGAAAGCCGAAAGTAGGAAAGTGCTGTCCAGGGCTGGTCGGCGTGCTGGAATTGCAGGGGACTAGGCCAGAGGAGTTCTTGAGGTTCCTCGCTCGTCTTCGGCCCTTTGCACGGGTGAGAGACTGAGGAGAGGAGGGCGGCCCGTGGCCCTGGCCATCTGGTGGGTCAGCAGCAGAGCCAGGACTGGAACCCAGCGCTCGGGGCCCAAGTCCAGAATCCCTCCCCCACATCACGTCACCTGTGTTTGTGGTCATTTAACGTGGGATGGGGGGAATGGGAAGCGGGTCGTTTGCGAGCAGGTAATCCTGGCGCCTGGTCGACCTTTGGGTTTGACCTCTTCTGCTTTTGGCACCGCGGGTTCTGGCTGCCTGCGCTGCCCACTGCACAGCACCTGAATAATCCAGTTACTACTGCCCAGAGGAAAGGGTCGGGGAATTAACCGTATTTTCTTCCCAGGGAGAAATGATTGCATTTTTTTGATGGGCTTAGGATGCATGCTCTTGGCATTCATATCAAACACGGCAGCAAAACACACGGTCACACCTGTGGGGTGCACGTGTGTGTGTGTGCCAGTGAGTCAAACAGGACAAGGGCCTGAGCCCGGGTGAGGAGGGCGGCAAGGCTGGGCCACGTGTGGAGGGTGGCCTCTGGCATAAGCCACAGGTGACGAAAGTGGCTTCTTTTTTTTTTTTTTTTTTTTTTTTTTAGCACTTAAGTCTAAGGGTTGAGATTTATTGGAAAAGGGAAAATGTTAGCAAAAAGTATTCAAGAATGCATGAATGGTCACTTCCCGAGAACAGACCATAGAAGACCGGATTCTTCTCTCTGGTCCCCGACCTTGTTGGATTATTAGTCCGCACTGTAGCTAAGTTTTCATTTTTTGAATTCATTTAATCAACACAGTGTTGCATTAGTTTCGGGTGTACAATATACGGATTCGACGACTCACTTTTACCTTTCTCGGTGCTCATCCAGATGAGAGTGCCCTTGTTTATCCCCTTTATCTGTTTCCTCCTCAGCTCTCCCACTTCCCCTCTGGCAACCACCAGTTCTCTGTATTTAAACAAACTTTTTTTTTTTTTTGTCTCTTTTTCTCTCTTGGTTCATTTGATTCTACAATTTCACATAGGAGTGTAATCAGATGGTATTTGTCCTTCTCTACAAAGTTACAATTTTTCTTTTAGAATTTGTTCCCTATTACATTTTTTCTTCTAAGTGAACTTTAAAAAAAAAAAAAAAAACAAGATTTGCTTAGGTGGCGGCACCTGGGTGGCTCAGTCAGTTAAGCGTCTGCATTCTGCGGGTCACGATGGTGAGATCGAGTCCTGCCTCGGGCCCCTTGCTCGGCGGGGGAGCCTGCTTCTCCCTCTCCTCCTGCCTCCTTTGCCCTCCTATGCTCTCTTCTTGCTCGCTCTCTTTCTCTCAAATAAATAAAATCTTTAAAAACAATTGTTTAAGCATTTTTTCTTTTCTGTACATGGGAACTGATCTTTGGAATTTAAAGTCCCCTCAACCCTTGCAGTTAACACCTTCCTACCTGACCTTCCCTGTCTGTGGGCCGGGCTAATGCATCGCTCTTACAGACAAACTATAACACGTGACACACATTGCTCAGAGGAAATACTGGCTCAGAGTTAAACCCTGAAAATCCACCAGAAGGCAAGCTGACTTGGAAATCACAAGTAGACCTCGGAGAGATCTACACGCAGATATATATAGTCATTGTTAGAAAGTGTGGAGCTGAGCCGGAGTGTTGCCAACAGAATGTTACAGGTTTGAAACAACGGAACTTTTGGTTCCTTGAAGAACGGATTTTTGGTGATGGGAATTGGGTGATAGAGGGGATTTACTGCAATCCTTCCCTCTTGTGTAAGAGTAGGTCAGCAAGGACCAAAAGTAATTTTCATGCAATGTGTAGTTATTGATTTTTCTTTCCCCTTAAGTTAGTCTTATGGTCTCCTCTGTGGTGTGTGTGTGGGCTTTTTTTTTTTTTTTTGGTAGTAAAAAAAATTTTATTTACTACAAAAAAAAATCCAAAATGAGAAATTGCTTTATTTTTCTTGTGATTATGTAAAATGCTCATAAAATATTTAAACATAAGTGCTTGAAAGCTAAAATTGTTCCAAGATAACTACTATTAATAGCTTAAGGACCACCCTTTCATGACTTTTTCTCTGTGATGTTATTTATTTATTTATTTATTTATTTTTTAAATTTATTTATTTATGATAGTCACACAGAGAGAGAGAGAGAGGCAGAGACACAGGCAGAGGGAGAAGCAGGCTCCATGCACCGGGAGCCCGATATGGGATTCGATCCCGGGTCTCCAGGATCGCGCCCCGAGCCAAAGGCAGGCACCAAACCGCTGCGCCACCCAGAGATCCCCTGTGATGTTATTTATTGTGTAACTTTTTCTCAGTCTTTTTTTTTCCTCCCCATGCTCCCATGACTGCATTCAAAAACACTAAGAAAACAGGAAATCCCTATTTACAACCTGGTGTCTAATCATACAGAAACATATGGGTGTAATGTATTTTGAGGTGTGTCTTATAAAAATAAGAATCTTATAATACTAAGGCTTAAAACCTCTTCTGAGTGTAGAATTCTAGATCTCTGACTGTTTCCCTCTAAATTTTTTTTATAGCCATCTCACTCTCCCCTAATCCGACGGCATGTGTCTTGGCATCCCACCTTCGTAAATAAAGGGTTCCCAAGGCACTCAACTTGGTTTTCATAGAAACTGTTCTTTCTGAACTTCTGTTTCATCAGTTTGAATAATATAGAATTAAATTCCTTAATTAAAATAATAGGTCTAATTAGCCTGAATAGCTCACTAACTTGGTAATCCTATATGACTTCAAAGGTAAGAGGAGGGCTTCACCGACCCAGACAGAAGCCTGCAGGTCTGCAGCATTCTACGTCTGCCGGGAGGTTGTAGAGGGGGTTGGAGAAGTACTGTATACGTGTTTGGTGTCTATTAAAATAGGGGAGACTGTTAGTCTGCCTTCGGCTCAGGTCATGATCCCAGGGCCCTGGGATGGAGCCCCCACATTGGGCACCCTGCTCAGCGGGGCGTCTG